TCGATTAGAACTGTTCAAAATCATTTAGAACTATTCAAAAGCATATAGAACTGCCCAGAATCGTTAATAATGTTTTCAAAACCATTTCGAGCTGTTCAAGACTCGTTTGGAATCGTTTAGAATTGTTCAAAAAATATGGAAGGTTAGAGCTGTTTATATTTATTTAGAACTTCTCAGTATCATACAGAATGCTTTTAGAGCTATTTTGAATTTTCGTATCTATGACTACTTAGAATATTTCACCTGAAAAATCCGATTTGCTCGTCTTTATTGCGCTGACCTTAGCTCAATTCGATGAAAAAACTTTTTTTTTAATAAAAAAAAAATTTCCGACTATTTTGTATTTTTCCTGTGACATTTACATCGTCGACAATCAAACATTAATCAATCGATTTCCCGCATTCCTTGCAGGCTTTTCCGTACACAATTTAACTCTAACCGCGGAATCCTATATACAGGGTGTTCCTAAACATCGTGTACATCCGAAAGGGGGTGATTCCTTGGCTTATTTTATGACTAAAAGTTTATATAAACATAGATATGCAAATGCTTCTTTATCGATCTACAGGGTGTTGAAATTTCAAGATTTTTTTTGTTTCTTTTTTAGAGCTCCTGCAATTTTTGAGATATTTAGCTAAAATTAGGAATAGGATATAGGGTATAGAGTATAATTTGAGTAATAGGGGGTTACTTTCAACATTTATTATAATGTAATTTAAAAATTATTATTTAGAGTTTTTGTTTTGTAAAATAAATCATTTGTACAGAAAATCGTTTGTAATTTTTTTCTCGATAACGGTCACAGAAACGAAAAAAGTTTGAAAATAAAAAAAGTTTCTAAACAAAATCGACAATTAATTTTGTAATTTAGAATCTACCAGCGGCGCACAGCAAAAAAGTTCGGGTGGAAAAAAGGGTACATGACCTCTGAAAAAATACCACCCTGTAGAATTCAACAACCATCTGATATACCCAATATTGTGTGCCCTATAAAGCAATCTAGATTCAAAATTTGAGCTAAATATATCAAAAAGTGCAGGAGCTACAAAGAAAAAATAAAAAAAAACTTGAAATTTTAACACTCTGTAGATCGGTAACGAAACGTTTATATGAACTTTTAGTCTTAAAATAAACCAAGGAATCACCCCCTTTCGGATGTACACGATGTTTAGAAACACCTTGTATATAAAAAATAAAAACCCAATCCCCATTAACAGAAAATTCCAATAAATTTGTAATTGTATAGTGTAGACAGATCGAGTTTTCTATAAATTCCCGATTAAATTAAGTTTAAATTCCACTTACAACAAACTTGAATGCCCATTTAAAACTAGTTCCCCCGGAATCGTTCACTTAAACTACTCGGCGAAAATAAAATTGAAAAATAAATTACTACCGGAGTCACTTTTGTACATACAAGGCCGTAATAATCCGGGCGCTTAAGAGCTCGAAAAGTTTTATTGCCGGAGCGGCCCGGAGCCCGATTTCTTCTCTCTTATACACGCGAATAAACTCCCGACAAACCGGAACTCCGGAGTTCCCAAAAAACCGGCCCGATTTCAATTTTTACTTCTATACAGGTTATATCACGGTCGATGTCAGGTTAGGCGTTTAGCGAAAATTTGGTTATTTAAGTCATTGGTCCTGCTCTATCAATTTAAAATATTTTTAACGCTGCGGCGTAGAGTCATTTAGAACTGTTAGAAGCATTTAAAACTGTTCAAATCTATTTAGAACTATTTAGAGTCATTTGGAAGTGTCCAAGAGTCATTTAGAACTGTTCAAATATATTTAGAACTACACAGAGTCGTTTAGAAATGTCCAGAATCGTTTAGAAGTATTCAGATTCATTTAAAACTGTTCAAATCTATTTAGAACTATTAGAGTCATTTGGAAGTGTCCAAGAGTTATTTAGAACTGTTTAAATCTATTTAGAACTACACAGAGTCGTTTAGAAATGTCCAGAATCGTTTAGAAGTATTCAGATTCATTTAAAACTGTTCAAATCTATTTAGAACTATTTAGAGTCATTTGGAAGTGTCCAAGAGGTATTTAGAACTGTTCAAATCTATTCAGAACTACCCAGAGTCGTTTAGAAAAGTCCAGAATCATTTACGAGTATTCAGATTCATTTAAAACTGTTCAAATCTATTTAGAATTATTTAGAGTCATTTGGAAGTGTCCTAGAGTTATTTAGAACTGTTCAAATCTATTTAGAACTACACAGAGTCGTTTAGAAATGTCCAGAATCATTTAGAAGTATCCAGATTCATTTAAAACTGTTCAAATCTATTTAGAACTATTTAGAGTCATTTGGAAGTGTCCAAGAGTCATTTAGAACTGTTCAAATCTATTCAGAACTACCCAGAGTCGTTTAGAAAAGTCCAGAATCATTTACGAGTATTCAGATTCATTTAAAACTGTTCAAATCTATTTAGAACTATTTAGAGTCATTTGGAAGTGTCCAAGAGTTATTTAGAACTGTTCAAATCTATTCAGAACTACCCAGAGTCGTTTAGAAAAGTCCAGAATCATTTACGAGTATTCAGATTCATTTAAAACTGTTCAAATCTATTTAGAACTATTTAGAGTCATTTGGAAGTGTCCAAGAGTCATTTAGAACTGTTCAAATCTATTCAGAACTACCCAGAGTCGTTTAGAAAAGTCCAGAATCATTTACGAGTATTCAGATTCATTTAAAACTGTTCAAATCTATTTAGAATTATTTAGAGTCAGTTGGAAGTGTCCTAGAGTTATTTAGAACTGTTCAAATCTATTTAGATATACCCAGAGTCGTTTAGAAATGTCCAGAATCATTTAGAAGTATCCAGACTCATTTAAAACTGTTCAAATCTATTCAGAACTACACAGAATCGTTTAGGACTGTTCAGAAGTATTTAGAACTGTTTAACTCTCTTTAGAACTGTAGAGTCATTTGGAAGTGTCCAGACTCATTTTTAGAACTGTTCAAATCCATTTAGAACTATCCAGTGTCATTTAGAAGGAGCCCGGAGCCCGATTTCTTCTCTCTTATACACGCGAATAAACTCCAGACAAACCGGAACTCCGGAGTTCCCAAAAAACCGGCCCGATTTCAATGCGACCGGATTTTTACTTCTATACAGGTTATACCACGGTCGATGTCAGGTTAGGAGTTTAGCGAAAATTTGGTTATTTAAGTAATTGGTCCTGCTCTATCAATTTAAAATATTTTCAACGCTGCGGCGTAGAGTCATTTAGAACTGTTCAAATCTATTTAGAACTACACAGAGTCATTTAGAACTGTTAGAAGCATTTAAAACTGTTCAAATCTATTTAGAACTATTTAGAGTCATTTGGAAGTGTCCAAGAGTCATTTAGAACTGTTCAAATCTATTTAGAACTACACAGAGTAATTTAGAACTGTTAGAAGCATTTAAAACTGTTCAAAACTATTTAGAACTATTTAGAGTCATTTGGAAGTGTCCAAGAGTCATTTAGAACTGTTCAAATCTATTTAGAACTACACAGAGTCATTTAGAACTGTTAGAAGCATTTAAAACTGTTCAAATCTATTTAGAACTATTTAGGGTCATTTGGAAGTGTCCAAGAGTCATTTAGAACTGTTCAAATCTATTCAGAACTACCCAGAGTCGTTTAGAAAAGTCCAGAATCATTTACGAGAGTCATTTGGAAGTGTCCAAGAGTTATTTAGAACTGTTCAAATCTATTTAGAACTACACAGAATTGTTTAGAAATGTCCAGAATTATTTAGAAGTATCCAGATTCATTTAAAACTGTTCAAATCTATTTAGAACTATTTAGAGTCATTTGGAAGTGTCCAAAAGTTATTTAGAACTGTTCAAATCTATTTAGAACTACACAGAATTGTTTAGAAATGTCCAGAATTATTTAGAAGTATCCAGATTCATTTAAAACTGTTCAAATCTATTTAGAACTACACAGAATCATTTAGAACTGCCCAGAAGCATTTAGAACTGTTTAAATCAATTTAGATATACCCAGAGTCGTTTAGAAATGTCCAGAATCATTTAGAAGTATCCAGACTCATTTGAAGCTGTTCAAATCTATTCAGAACTACACAGAATCGTTTAGGCTGTTTAAAAGAATATACCCTTTTTTTGTTTTTTGCATTTTGACATTTGGTTTCATTCTTTCGTTAATAATTAAGAATTAAATCGTTGTGTGTTACTAATTGATACACTTTATTGTTTATTAAAAATGCCATTTAAATATTCAATTGCTGAATATGATGATATTATTTTTGTTTACGGATTTTGCAATGGCAAATGGATTTTATTTTGAACATATTTTATAATGTACAATAGATTTTTTATTGAATTTTTGCATTTTTCGATAGTTTTTGAACAGTTATTATCATACGCGTTGAATATTTTTTATTGAGTTAATTTTAAGATTTTTTCAATGACAGGAATATGTAATTAGTCGTTTTATAAATATTATTTTAATGTAAATTATTCGGTTATCCTAAATGTGTAATTTTTCTTAAAAGTTAATTGATAATTAAAAATTAAACAAAGTGTGGCAAAAATTTCTGATGCTCAAGCTTTATGAGTTACTTTTACCTTCTACATTAACCAAATGAAAATTTAGAAAAAGTGTATACAGGGTGAAATATTAAGTTTGGAAAAATGTACCTCTTTTTTTTTAAGACGATCCTGAATTTTTTTAATTTTGAATATGCCAGTGTGTTGCTGGTTCAAAATGTATACTTTTACAAGAAAATGAACCAAATCGAAATAACCACCATAAATATATAAACAAAAGAAAATTTCGTCAAAATTCATAGAATCACCCTTCATAGAATCACCCTGTATCTCCTTAGAGAAGAATCGGATGGAACTTTTAATGGTCGTATGATATTCACCTTAAGTGCCTCTATACACTGTTAAAGTATGTACGATTCCTCATGACTCACCCTGTACTTCACTCAATATTACACCACGATGACGTCACTAAGGTATTAGAATTGCAATGTTTTATATAGGGATTAACTCACCTATGACGTAGAGGTATTTGTACACCATCAAAGTGTAGAAATTCGGGGCTTCTGTAGATACTTCGCATTTGTATTTTCCGGTGGTTTCCGGTTGAACGTTAGTCAGAATCAAGTGGGTGTGATTGCTCTTTGTCATCTGAAATTAATAAACACATTTTCACTGAATTATCCAGCTACAAAATTACCCAGAGTGGTTGAAGCAAAAAATAACAATAATTTAGTAATTTAAATAGATTTAGTACTGTCCAGTATTATTTAGAACTGTTCAAATCTATTTAGAACTATCTAGAGTCATTTGGAAGTGTACAAGAATTATTTAGAACTGTTCAAATTTAGAACTACACAGAGTCTTTTTAGAACTGTTCCGAAGCATTTAAAACTGTTCAAATCTATTTAGAACTATTTAGAGTCATTTGGAAGTGTCCAAGAGTCATTTAGAACTGTTCAAATGTATTTAGAACTACCCAGAGTCGTTTAGAAATGTCCAGAATCATTTAGAAGTATTCAGATTCATTTAAAACTGTTCAAATCTATTTAGAACTATTTAGAGTCATTTAGAAGTGTACAAGAGTCATTTAGAACTGCCCAAAAGCATTCAGAACTGTTTAAATCCATTTAGAACTATCCAGAGTCATTTAGAAGTGTCCAGACTCATTTTTAGAACTGTTCAAATCCATTTAGAACTATCCAGTGTCCTTTAGAACTGTTCAAACCTATTTAGAACTATGCAAGATCAATTAGAACTGTTTAAACCCACTTAGAACCCTCTAAAATCATCTACAACTGTTCAAAAACCAAACAATATTGGAGCACAATTGCGTTTTCTCCCAAAAAAATATTCAGAACTTAATACTACAATGCATAAACTTACATCTATGTTAACTCCCGGTAAGGAGAAAGTCCTGGTATCGGGCAACTCCTTGGGCAAGTACCGATAGAACTCCTTGGTGCCTTTGTACCATTTCAAGGTGTACAATAGCTCACCCTCGAGGTCAAAGAAACATCTCAAAGTTATCGTATCGCCGGTTTTAGCCGCTGTAGGGATGTCTATGGAGACATCCTTTAAAGCCAAAACTCCTGCAAAAAAAATCCACATCAATCAAACGACTATAATCCTGCAACCATTATTGTACTGACTGATTGGAAATTTACTTTATAAGTACAAATATTCTACTAGAAGGAGTATAATGTAGAACTAATCTAGAATGATTTAGAACAAAGTAAATGTCTATAAAAACGTCCTTTAAAGCCAAAACTCGTGCAAATAAAATTCACATCAATCAAACGACTTTAATTCTGCAACCATTAATGTACTGACTGATTGGACAAGCTTACTTTATGAGTACAAATATTCTACTAGAAGGAGTAGTATAATGTAAAAATAATCTGGAATGATTTGGAATAAAGTAAATCTCTATGGAGACGTCCTTTAAAGCCAAATATCCTGCAAAAAAAATCCACATCAATCAAACGACTATAATCCTGCAACCATTAATGTAATGACTGATTGGACATTTACTTTATGAGTACAAATATTCTACTAGAAGGAGTAGTACAATGTAAAACTAATCTAGAATGATTTAGAACAAAGCAAATGTCTATGAAAACGTCCTTTAAAGCCAAAACTCCTGCAAAAAAAATCCACATCAATCAAACGACTATAATCCTGCAACCATTAATGTAATGACTGATTGCACGTTTACTTTATGAGTACAAATATTCTACTAGAAGGAGTAGTATAATGTAAAACTAATCTAGAATGATTTAGAACAAAGCAAATGTCTATGAAAACGTCCTTTAAAGCCAAAACTCCTGCAAAAAAAAATCCACATCAATCAAACGACTATAATCCTGCAACCATTAATGTAATGACTGATTGGACATTTACTTTATGAGTACAAATATTCTACTAGAAGGAGTAGTACAATGTAAAACTAATCTAGAATGATTTAGAACAAAGCAAATATCTATGAAAACGTCCTTTAAAGCCAAAACTCCTGCAAAAAAAATCCACATCAATCAAACGACTATAATCCTGCAACCATTAATGTAATGACTGATTGGACATTTACTTTATGAGTACAAATATTCTACTAGAAGGAGTAGTATAATGTAAAACTAATCTAGAATGATTTAGAACAAAGCAAATGTCTATGAAAACGTCCTTTAAAGCCAAAACTCCTGCAAAAAAAATCCACATCAATCAAACGACTATAATCCTGCAACCATTAATGTAATGACTGATTGGACATTTACTTTATGAGTACAAATATTCTACTAGAAGGAGTAGTACAATGTAAAACTAATCTAGAATGATTTAGAACAAAGCAAATGTCTATGAAAACGTCCTTTAAAGCCAAAACTCCTGCAAAAAAAATCCACATCAATCAAACGACTATAATCCTGCAACCATTAATGTAATGACTGATTGGACATTTACTTTATGAGTACAAATATTCTACTAGAAGGAGTAGTACAATGTAAAACTAATCTAGAATGATTTAGAACAAAGCAAATGTCTATGAAAACGTCCTTTAAAGCCAAAACTCCTGCAAAAAAAATCCACATCAATCAAACGACTATAATCCTGCAACCATTAATGTAATGACTGATTGGACATTTACTTTATGAGTACAAATATTCTACTAGAAGGAGTAGTACAATGTAAAACTAATCTAGAATGATTTAGAACAAAGCAAATGTCTATGAAAACGTCCTTTAAAGCCAAAACTCCTGCAAAAAAAATCCACATCAATCAAACGACTATAATCCTGCAACCATTAATGTAATGACTGATTGGACATTTACTTTATGAGTACAAATATTCTACTAGAAGGAGTAGTACAATGTAAAACTAATCTAGAATGATTTAGAACAAAGCAAATGTCTATGAAAACGTCCTTTAAAGCCAAAACTCCTGCAAAAAAAATCCACATCAATCAAACGACTATAATCCTGCAACCATTAATGTAATGACTGATTGGACATTTACTTTATGAGTACAAATATTCTACTAGAAGGAGTAGTACAATGTAAAACTAATCTAGAATGATTTAGAACAAAGCAAATGTCTATGAAAACGTCCTTTAAAGCCAAAACTCCTGCAAAAAAAATCCACATCAATCAAACGACTATAATCCTGCAACCATTAATGTAATGACTGATTGGACATTTACTTTATGAGTACAAATATTCTACTAGAAGGAGTAGTACAATGTAAAACTAATCTAGAATGATTTAGAACAAAGCAAATGTCTATGAAAACGTCCTTTAAAGCCAAAACTCCTGCAAAAAAAATCCACATCAATCAAACGACTATAATCCTGCAACCATTAATGTAATGACTGATTGGACATTTACTTTATGAGTACAAATATTCTACTAGAAGGAGTAGTACAATGTAAAACTAATCTAGAATGATTTAGAACAAAGCAAATGTCTATGAAAACGTCCTTTAAAGCCAAAACTCCTGCAAAAAAAATCCACATCAATCAAACGACTATAATCCTGCAACCATTAATGTAATGACTGATTGGACATTTACTTTATGAGTACAAATATTCTACTAGAAGGAGTAGTACAATGTAAAACTAATCTAGAATGATTTAGAACAAAGCAAATGTCTATGAAAACGTCCTTTAAAGCCAAAACTCCTGCTAAAAAATCCACGTTTATAATCCTGCAAACCATTAATGTACTGACTGATTGGACAAGCTTACTTAATGAGTACAAATTCTACTAGAAGAAATAATATAATGTAGAACTGTCTATAATGATTTGAAACGAAGCAAATCCTTTTAGAACTCTTAGAACAGTCCAGAATTATTTAGAATTGTTCAGCGCCAAATAGGGTACTAAAATAATAATTACAATAGTGCAATTAATTGTTTTCATAAAAAGTATATTAATGACATAAAATTCTTCTTTGCGAGTATTCTCTAGTGCAGTATGCATGCAGTATAAGTACGAAACAAAAGTTTTGCGTAAAAATAATCCTCCATAAAAATTAATGTAGCAGATAAAAGTACGTGCGAAGCAATATTCATTAAATCCCCCGACGAAAAGGGAAGTTTCTCATTAAGCCCTTTGAGCGGAATAGGAAGGGAAATTTGGCGAGCGGGAAAACTAAATTTTTCCGGACGAAACGGCGACGAATCGTCGCAAATTGCTTTCGGAATGCTACACACTGCTTACTATTTTTTTTATATACAGGGTGATTCTGAAATAAGTGGTCAAACTTTGGGAGCAAGTTGAGAACCTCAAAATATGATAAAAACTTAAATGTCATTTTTTCGAAATGTTTTTGGTTATTAGTATATACAGGGTGTTAAAGATGGATTCTTGAAGAGGTATTTTTGTTAATAATTCCATTAATAGTAAAGGTAAAATGTTGAAATTTGGTACACATACTAAGCAAATAAAATGCCTTACAGTAGAATACAATCGGGTTAAAAAAGTTATCAAGGAGTAGGTTAAAATGGGGGAGTCGTGGGGTAATTCTAACCTAACTTTTTTATTTTAACCTTTTCTAATGATTTGTTTAAAGAATATGAAAAAAAATGAAATTTTCTACATAAAGAAGGTATACTTGATGATTTTCCGTAAAGTGAACCTTTATACAAAAAATTACTTTTAAAATTCTGATGCACTTTAAAATTATTATTATTAAACTATCATCATCATTAAAAATCAAGTAGGAAAGCATTCTGTCAAGAACTTTAGAACAGTCAGTGACGTTTCTGAGAAACACTTATGTAATCGAGAAAACCATGAAAACCAAGTTTTTGACAGAATGCATTCCTACTTGATTTTTAATGATGATGATAGTTTAATAATAATAATTTTAACGTGCACCAGAATTTTAAAAGTATTTTTTTGTATAAACGGTTCACTTTACGGAAAATCATCAAGTATACCTTCTTTATGTAGAAAATTTCATTTTTTTCATATTCTTTAAACAAATTAGAAAAGGTTAAAATAAAAAAGTTAGGTTAGAATTACCCCACGACCCGCCCATTTTAACCCACCCCTGTATAACTTTTTAACCCGATTGTATTGTGCTGTAAGGCATTTTATTCGCTTAGTTTGTGTACCAAATTTCGCCATTTTAAATCTTTACTATTAATGGAATTATTAATAAAAATACCTCTTCGAGAATCCATCTTTAACACCCTGTATACTAATAACCAAGGACAATTCGAAAAAATGACATTTAAGTTTTTATCATATTTTGAGGTTCTCTACTTGCTCCCAAAGTTTGACCACTTATTTCAGAATCACCCTGTATATAACTATCACCTAATTTTAGTAGGTACTTATAGTATGTTTAGATTTATTCGGCGATGACGTCACGAGTTAAAAAACTTAATGTAAACTATACTGGGAATTTTGGGAATGAATTTTAAAATGCCCGGCGAATGGAGGAATCGTTTCAATTTAATAAAACCAAACTGAGAAACCCGACGGACCGCAATAGAAAATGAATTTTAATAGAAAAAAAAAGGAGTGTATTCTCTCGATGTATAAGTCTTCGGCTGTTTTTTCGCCATTCAATAAATTCGAAAACCGCCCGGATTTTTTTATATTCCAGAATAGAAATCGACTTCGATCCGATCCGAAAAGAAAACTTTCATTTTATTAACAAAGCTTGAAAAATATAAGCAAAAAATTTTTGACCAAATAACATATGCAAGATATTTAGCTACAATATGGTAAAAATATACGAGGGTACGGTAAAAAGTTCTTAACCTGAATCATTTAGAACAGTCTAGAACAATCTAGAACGCTCCAGAACCATTTAGAACGCTCCAGACTAATTTAGAACTGTTCAAAACCATTTACAATGCTTCAAAACTGTTTAGAACGCTTCAGAATCATTTAGAACTGTGTAAAACCATTCAGAACGCTTTAGAATAATTTAGAACTGTTCAAAACCATTTATAATGCTTTAAAACTATTTAGAATTTTCCAGAATTATTTAGAACTGCCTAGATTCATTTAGAACACTCTAGAATCATTCAGAACTGTCCAAAACCATTTACAATGCTTCAAAACTATTTAGAACGGTCCACAATTATTTAGAACTGTGTAAAACCA